TATAAGCAGCATATTATAAATATATATTTATATGTAGAATACATATTGTAAATTTGGGGGGACCCAGTGCCAGCACTCAGCCAAACTCAGCCAGGTAGTGCTCCCTAACACGTCCCTTGCTCCTCCGTGAAGATGCTCCCCTAGACCAAGGTGTCCTCCCCTCTCTGCACTTCCTGAAACCGTGCACGACCCTTTATTAAACCCTTACCAAAGCATCTGCATTGTTTCTCTGTTTCTTAAATCTTTTTCATTGGACTGAGCTCTCTCTGATTACAGTCGAATTGGAATTTCATTAGTACCTTTTGAGTGTCTGATGCTCAGCACTCAAATGTCTGTTGAATGATGAAAATTAGTACAATATCTGGCTCATAGAAAATGTTAAGCAAATATGCATTAAATGAATGAAGAAGGAACAGATGAACACAGTCTGGAGCCCCCGGCGGATCAGACCCTTGTGAACACTGCGGGGCCTGAGTAAGAGAACAAGAGGAGACCCACTTGCCAGGGTGTCCAAATAATTTAAGGTACAAAACAAGCTGTTAGATACCATGTTAGATACCACGCTGTTGTCTCTTCCTACCTTCATAAATACATCTTTATAACAAAAAGTCAAGAGATTCATGAAAATTATATATTTTGGGTGACTTAAAGATGGCAAAATATCAAAGATGTCCAAGTCTAATTAATAACAGTGCAAATAATTAGGTATTCTATTCTGTTGAGAGGCTGATGATGTTGGGGCAAATAATAAAATAAAGACATACATAATTAAAAAATGATTATGTAGCTAATCTACAGCATTTACTTATTTTTCTCACCTTTACTTTAGCAAAAGCACTGGTGGGTTTTTTTGTTATAATTGAGTCACATAATTTATGTTCTATTGCCAGTAATGCCAGACTGTATAACCTTTCTTCAATATCAAACGTGCTTGGCTCTCTTTACACAGAAGTGTGTTTCAACTTAGAAAAGAACAAATATGTAAGCTCATCTGTACAAGAATACTAAATGCAGAGGTTTATTTTAGTTATGTTTACAGGAACTGAAATAGAAACAACTGTGTCCATCGCTATGAGGATGGTCAAGTGAGCTGTGGCATGGTCCGCCCTGCAATGCAGACACTTTAAGAAACAAGCAGGAGCCACGTCAGTAGATTTAGAGGGGTGTCTTTGAGATACTGCTGAGAAAAGCCGTATGTAAAGAAATGTGTATAATTCAGCTCATTTCTGCAAAAGGACAATAACAAAAACCTCTGTATGGGTACTTTACATATTTAAAAATGATTTATTTGAAAACGGAGGAAAGTATGGAAAGAATTGCAATGATGGTAAACCTGGATTTCTATATGTACGCGTGTGTTTGGGCGGGGGTGATGTAGGTGTAATAGGGAGGTGGATATGCGGCAAAGTTTATATTCATATTTACTGATGTGTAGGTGGGATGATAGATATGTAATTGTTCACAAAAATATTGCGATGTCATTCTATTTCATTCACAGTGAACAAACAAACTAAACACTGTGTCTGTAGGTGTCTGTGCTTTTAGATGGAAGGAGAAAATCCCAGAACAACCTGTATCCAGCCATGAACGTTAGTTCCTTCAAGAGACTGAATAAAATATAAAGTAGAAAAAGGATAATGCTTTTTCTTTATACATCTCTGTTTTGTTTTCCTGGTTATAAAAAGCATGCAAACTTTAACATACTGCTTTCATAATGAGAAATAACTGATGAGGACTTTTCTAAAAAAATTAAAGTCCTTGGGGACCAGCTTTCTTAAGCTACAAGCCCAAAGTGGCAAGGCCACAGACTTTAACACACATCAGATTTACTGTAGTGGGCCTTTGCCCAGTGGTCAAGGCTTGAATCCAGAGAAATTCTGAACCCACCCACCAATATCTGTAAGAGGCTTGGGTTGACAGTCAGAGAGACCCAGGTTCAAATCCTTGCTCTACAACTTAAAAGCTAGGTAAGTTTGGGTTAAGTCATTTAATTTTTCCATGGCTTAGTTCCATCACCTATAAGAGCATAACCATACCTAATTCACAGGGTGGGTGGGTGAAGAAATGAAAGGAAATGCATGCAAACTGCCTAACACAGACTAGCTCAGCCACCACCTTGAACAGCAGTTTCTGTGAGTGGGTAGGCACTGAGAAATCGATTTGGGCACCGCTGCTGTGATTCGGAATGTTTCTTGATTGTTAGCTCTAGCTGGTTCAGACGGGACTGCTGAACGCGGCAGCCTCAGCTCGGTGAGCTGTGGCTCTGTTCGTAGGGGCTCTGTTTGCAGATTCTTAGGCTCTGTTCTGAAGATGCCCCCACTCGAGGAAGGGCCTCTTTGTTGACAGTCCCTGCCATTCAGCGTGGGAGTTGCTGGCATGGAATAACCCCAATGCTAGGCCTGCCTTCCTCCGTCTGTCTAGTTCACTTCACTAGATCATCGGACAGGTGCTGGCCCCAGAAAATGCAGACTAAGTCTGGCTGCAACATATATAGTTCCCATGCTTTGTGGCATAGAGTTGGAGTGACCATCAGTTCAAAATTAGTTTCAGTTTCGGGTTTTTTTCTTAGCTATGTGATAATAGGGTAATAATGATTGAATATGAGTGCTCTTATTTATCCCCCCCCCCTCATTTAAGAAGATTCTGACTTGGACTACTTAGGTTCTCATTCTCCTCCACCCTCCAAGGAGGACATTTGCATGCAACATGTGTCATGCAAATTTCATGATCTGTAAAGCCGGTCCCTCCAACATCCCGAGGGATGATCATTCGTTAGTTGCCTCAAAGTAGGGAATACCTTTCCATGATGGTCCCTGACACTCCTTATCTTGCAGGCCCACCTCAGAGATATCTCGGGTTTGGTTCCAACCCACGGCATTGAGGCAACTATCACAACAAAGTGAGTCACACACATTGTTTTCGTTTCCCAGTGCATACAAAAGTTACATTTACACTAGATTGTCACCTATTACATGTGCAATAGTATTATGTCTAAAACAATGTATACACCTTAATTAAAAATATTTTGCTTCTAAAAAATGTTAACCACCATCTGAGCCTTTGGCAAGTCATAATCTTTCTGTGGGTAAAGGGTCCTACCCTCAATTTGTAAAATAACGCAGTATCTGTGAAACACAATAAAGTAAAGTGCAATAAATGAGGTGCACCTGAACCAACTACTCATCTCTGCTCTGCCCTCTCCAAAAAGCTACTTAAAAAACAAAACAACTCAGCCTTTTCTACAATGTGCCCAAGTCCTGTTTCTTGATACATGTAACTCTGCCAAGAGCTTCTTGTTCCTATTTCGCTTTAAAAAGTTGAATTCTATCTTCAGATGATTAAAGAGCTGATCTAATGTGGAACTGAGGATAAAGCTCTGAGTAGGTAGGGTCGATCGTGGTCAATGAAGACAGTATCTAGAACCTACATGGGAGCCTCTGAACAGGGAGCCAATGAGAGGGGAGCGGGCAAGTATTAGAGGTGAAGGACTGGAGGCAGAGGCTGCAGCAGCAAAGGGTTCCTGTGGCCAGGGAAACCAGGTAGGGAGAGGAAGCAAATGGAAGAGAGCAGAAATAATAAAATGGATTACTTGATTGACGATCCAATGGGCAGAGAAGCAAGTTAAAAAGCTAAGACAAAGGGCAAGTTTCTATAGGAAACTACAGAAGACAAGGACACCCCTTTTTTCTAAAGGCATTATAAAGTGAGTAAAGTCTCCTTGGGGAAAAAAAAATATATCTAAATTTCCCCAGCAGCCCTGACTGTTGTGGCTCAGTGGGTTGGGTGTCATTCTGCAAACAGAAAGGTCACCAGGTAGGTCCCTAGCAGGGGGGCGCCGGAGAGACAACTGATCAATGTTTCTCTTTGCACATCGATGTTTCTCTCCCTCTCCATCTCCCTCCCTTCCCCTCTCTAAAAATATACAACATATTTTTAAATAAATAAACAAACAAACAAATAACCCCAACAAGAGTGCTTAAGCAGGCGTTTTTTCCATACCAGGCAGTTAACTATTGTGAAAGAGGAAATGTTTCCAATGTATTTAAGTTGTAAACCAGGTGATAAAAACTATGTATTGTAAAGTCCATCTTAAAATAGGTTGTATGTATGCATATACCCAGTAAAGATCAGTGAAAAAAAAAACCATTACTGTTAGTAATGAGAATGCCTTGACAGTCAATCAGACCAAAACAACAGAAATCATCCTAGCCTCTTTCTTTAGCCTAAAACCAGAAAATGTACTTTTCAACAATCATAATTAAGCTATTCACACTCCCCCGGCTTCTAACTACCTGGGAGTTGGGAATGTTGTCTACTAGACTGAGTTTCTTAAGGAGAAAGACCACATCTTGTTCTTTATTTCACTGCTGCTGCCTGTACTTGGCTGATACATAGTAGCCTCTCAGGTATTCCTGCTGTAGTGAACAAATTAATGAGTACACGTACTATATGTACTCAGGACCAAACAGCCTTGTGCTTTTGGTATGTTTTTAAATAAAGTCCAAAGGTGCACCCTCTCTCCTGCCTTGACTTTTATAAGACAGTCTGGTTTAGTAGCAAGGAAAAAAAAAAGCCGTGGGAAAAAGGTAAGCAAATTACACCAGGATCTGAAAGGAAACAGATAATGCTAGTGATTGTTCTTGCCAGCTTGTAACAGGCAGGATATAAATATGTTAGAGAATAGGAAATTCAAAAAAGGCACCAGGAAGCAGGTTGGGGATTTTGAAGAATAGCATGTTGGGAACCTACTTACTCAGAAGCCATTGGACTATGACCCTAGGCAAATTGTGTTTCACTTTGCTGTTATTGTTTGAATGAAATGAAATTTCATAAGCCTGGGAGCCTCACCCCTTCCTGTCTATTTCATTGGAGCATAAATCACTTCTAAGGGGGGGACGTTTGGGTTAAGGGTGAGTGCTTCCCCTTTCCTGCAAGCTCGAGTTAACGGAGGGGAGTGCTGTCTTTCTTCTCCACGGTCTCGCTGGCCCCCACCCCGACATCCCATCCTTTTTGCTAAACTTTCATTTTCAAGGCACTCATGGAACATAAAACCCTCGATTATAACTTTTCACTAGACATACCATGAACGACTTAAATTTATCTTGGTTTTTGAAAAAATATAGTTGCTTTCATCTAAAAATAGCAGTTACCAGTTGGCTATTTTGAGTTCAGGAACACGACTTCCCTTGCCTGTGGCAACTTGCAACCAAAGGAACTCACAACCCTTTAAACCATCCAGTGTCCCTTTGTCTAAATGACAAAGACGGGGGTCCACAAATTGTGCTTCCACATACTGCAGGGATTCAGGAGCCAGCACTTTGCAATGGAAACTCTGGGGCCGATGGTGTGTCTGGTGTAACTGCAGACCCGACAGAGAGGGTACACCACAGGGAACCCAGAGGTAAAAATCATGTGTTTGGCCACCTGGGAGCCAGCAAGCTTGGCAACGTGCCAGGAGAAGACACAGGAATTCTTAAGACAGCCAGCAACCTGGGACTTTCTACCTCAACGTGTCCCAGTAGCCCACCTGCTAGGTCCCAGCTCTGAGGTGTGCAGCTGCCTCCCGAGCCAGCCGAACTCCGGGACAGGACTCAGCCAGGTCAGTCTTCCTTCGCTTTCTCGGGTTGTGTGCGTGAAGCCTCCTTCACAAAGCAGGATCCTTGCCTACATGCGTCACCTTCCTGTAGGAGAGAGATTTGTGTCGTATATGCATTGGAGTCCAATTATCGCAGACACTAGGTGAGTACTCAGGCGCCAAGTTTCGGATGGGTTCCCAGAGTAACTGGACTTCTGGTGCTAAGTGAGGGCTTTTCCACAAGGGAGACCACATGAACACTTCAGTGCCTTTGGGGCCGACCAGGCAGGGAATAAATGAGACAATAAGTGGGGGAGATAATGACAAATGACAAAATCCATTCTATGTCTACAGGCATTCAAATTCACTTGTTTGTTTTTAAACTGCTGACCAGCCAAACCAAACACAGCTGTGGGCCGTCTTTAGCTTCTAAGCCAAGTTTGCAACGCCCCGCCCAGGTGGCCCTCTGGACGGGCTGGATGTGCCGTGTTCCCCACCCCTATGGCCCTGGGAGGTGGTCAGACAAGCCCTGAGTCTAACCCCTACCCCACACCAGCACTACCCACTTGGTGACTTTGGACAATTACCTTCCCCTCTGAGTCTCAGTCTTCTCATCTGTAAAATGGAGATAATTCCCACCTTATAAACTCAATGGGTGAGGATTTGGTGAGATTTTACTTTGGGAACACTTGCCACCACCCCGGCGCCCTTTTGAAGTGGCAGCGACCCACACGCCATGCTCACACATCAAGCCCCCAGTACAAGGCAGCTCTGGGCATCTGCCTGGCTCATGTCTAAACCTGAGTCTCAGCTTGCACAGCTGTCTGGTTCCTCACCGCCTGATCCATTCCCAGGTCCCTCACACTCTGACCCCCAGCTTCCTTTCCCTCCTGGGCCCACATCACTCCTGGGCCCTAACTATAGATTCACTTCTCTGGCTTGACTCTGGGGCTACTTTCTGGAGGAAGGTCCGCATCTGTCCTCCAGACCTCTCGGGGAACCTGGGCCGTCTCTTTGAGAGACATCTGGACTAAAAGTAGTTGTGTCCCCTGAAGTCTGAGTTCTGAGGTGCCGAGCTGCATCCCTTATCAGCTGGGGAGAAGACTGCGAGGTTGAGAACTGACTGCAGATGTGGTACAGAGGGGCTCTGTTCCCAGCCCCTCTTGGGCTTCCGGGAGCCGCCGAATTCTCTGTGGTCTCGGGATCTTCACAGATGCTCTTCCTTTGCTCCTCTTCTTTTCCCCTGAGCAAATCCTACCCATGCATCAGTCTCAGCATAAGCACCCCTTTTTCAGAGAAGCTGTTAGGAGTCACTGTTTGTGTCCTCCACCCCCACTCCCCAACATCCTTACCCTGAAGCCCGAACTCACAAAGGGATAATATTTGGAGGCGGGGCCTTTGGGAAGTAAATGAGTTTCGATGAGGTACCGGGGATGGGACTCACAGGATGAGACTGACGCTCTTACAGGAAGAGGAAAGGCCAGGGCCCTTGCTCCTCTGTCCTGTGGAAGGCCCAGCAGTACAGCAGCCATCCGCAAGCCAGCACCTTCATCTTGGACTTCCAGCCTCTAGGACTGCGAGAAATGCTGGTCGTTTAAGCTACCCAGTCTATGATATTTAGTTATTATAGTAGCCTCAAACAACTAGGACAGAAATTTCCTGAACCGACAATTGGTGCCCTCCCAATTCTGTTCTCTCTGGAAAAATTCTATATTTCTTTTGTTCTATTAATTATAATTTGTACTTATACAAATTATAATGAACTTGAGAGAGGACTTGTTCAATGTTTTCTTCTCCTATATAAAATGTGGAGCTGGTAGGCTGGCTCTGTTCCAGAGGCACCCGTTTTGCCCTTCCTAAGATGTTGCTTCACATTCAAGGTCCAAAATAGCAAATTGCAATAGCCTCCTGCCTGCCAGTAGAAGTTGGCGGGGAGGGGGGAGAGCCACACCCTTTCTCTTTAAGGCCTGGAGCCAAAAAGGTGCCTGTGTCACTTGCACTCAAGTCACCTTGGTCAGCCCCTGGTGACATGACTGCATTGCCGCTACAAAAAAGGCCAGGAAATGCACTCGTTATTCTGAGCATCTATTTACCCAGCAAAAAACCAGAGATTCTACTGCTGTTTGCAGAAGAGCAAGTGAGTGGTGGGGGACCGATAGCAGCCTCTGCCTACCATCTTCTCTGGAGATAGGAAACACGACTGCAGGAACCAACTTTCTTACTGTCAAGATCTTGTATCAGGGTCAAGTCTAGTGCTTGGTCTAGGTGAGAGATGGGTTAGATGACAGTGGGAATTTACTAAAGTGGGCAGGTTTGGGATACAGGACTTGCCAATAGGGATAAGCACATGTGTCTATGGGAAGGGTACTTCCACCTAAATGTCAGTTTTCCTCTTGTATTGTTTACAAGATTTTTTTTCCCTTACCTGTCCAACGAAATTCTAAGCTATTCAACGTAGAAGTTCAGGAAGAATATAATTATGGGTTCAAATACTGTTTCTGACATTTAAATAGCTGTAGGAACTTTGGCCTCAGGAAAACTGAGGATTAAAATACCACATAAAGGTAAATGCTTAGCACTTTGCCTGATGATAGATACAGATATAGATAGATAGATAGATAGATAGATAGATAGATAGATAGATAGACAGATAGCCCAATGAATCAACTGTGGCTCCTATACTGCTGTGTAGCCCTTTAACCATCCTTGAATCTAGAGCAGGGAGTATCAATCAGTATTTGTTGGTGGATAGGTATATGACTGGGGAAATCTCTATGCTTTGAAGACCACCACACATTTTCTGGGGGACAGTTGGTGTCTGCTGGATGGCTGCCCGCCTTCCAGTTCCGAGTGGGTCCTTCTCCGTATGCTCCTCTTTCCCAGGCAACAAACAGCCTCTTCTTCCTGGAAGGGCAGGCTGAGTTTTGTGGCAATGACTGGCACCTGGTTCAGAGGCTCAGCGCTCACACCCAGTTCAAATGTCACCTCTTCTGTGAAGCCCTCCCGTTCCTCTTCCTCCCGTTCACTTCCAGCCCAGGAAGGCCTGGTAGAATGAGTCACTTCCTCTGGAACCTTGCTGCTCCCTGCCCGGTTCACTGCCCTGGTAACGGGGAGATCTCAGGCTGGTTCCATCTGGTATTGCCCAAGCGCAAGCCCATGAAACTTGTCCTTCTGCCGCTTAACGACTCAGAGCCTGAAGGCATTAAAAAGGTTGTCTGTGCCAGATGAGTCAGAATGGGATTGAGCAAAACCCAGAGTGCACACATGGTGCCCCATTTGCTGATTAACATTGTAAAACCTGCTGGTTGCCGATGGCAAGGTCAAATGCCAAAGACAAGCAGTAGAGTTCCCCTGCACCAGCAGTCTGTGCCGCTCAGATGTATAGAAAGAAAACAGGCTGCAAGTAAATGCCAAGCACAGAGGAAACCCCCAGGTTCTGATGCTGAATGACGACGGCTGCAGTGAGACCAGGTGGTTCCATGAATACTGATTCTGCAGGCTCCTCTCTACCTAGTTTCTCTAGGTTGGAACCTTGCATCTTGGGCCCCACGGGCCCCATTTACATCTCCCCTTCACGGTGCCCACAGAGCCTTGTTTCTAGCCTTGGATGAGGGAGGAGGGAAGCTTTAGTCTGCCTTACTTTGTAATTTCTATACCTTCAGTCTTCCCCAATTTGAGCTTTTGACAAAACACTCAAAACCTTTTCTCTAATTCCTCTGCATCATCCCTTTGCTGAGGCACAGATGCAACACCCTCCAGCCATCTCCAGTGGGTGATTGGAGGAAAGTAACCATTAAGCTTTCAAAGATCTCCTACTACATCATAGACTTGCAAGTGAAGTATTGGTCCTCACCTCCCTCATCAGACTGAAAGCTTCTTGCTGGATATGACTGTGCATTACTGTTTTTGCATTCAGGACCTGCACTGGACCACAGTTTGGGTGCAGAGTTATTAAGTGAACGGCCACAAGTGTGTATGGGAATTCATTGGAAAATGATCCTTACACTTGGGAGCACTTTACAGGTTTGTCTCCATGACTTCGTTCACTCCTCAAAACAATCTCGTTACAAAAGGACAGGCATTATTTTTTATTTTATGGAGATCAGAGAATCAGGATACTTGTCTAGGGTCCCTTAGCTGCTAAAAGCAAAGCTGAGAATGGGACCAAGGTCTGCTGGCTTCAACATCAGGAGGGAGAGCAGGACAGGGACAGGGCGTGTGCCATCACTGGAGGGTGGGTCGTCTGTGAACCTGCTCAGATGACCTTTGGAGTAAAGTCCCTTATTTAAGGGACTTCCCTAATGAAGCCCTGGAATTGGAGAATAATCTAGAAAAAGATGCTAATGCTGGGTCATGTGTCACTTTGTCACAGTGGTTAACAGGACCCTTCACCATTTTAACACAAAAAGCAAAAGTTCTCCAACTATTGGGTCCCCGTTGCATCCTTACAAATTACTGAGGACCTCAAAGAGCTTTTGTTTATGTGGGTTATCCCTGTTGAGTTTTGCAATAACCAGACTTAGAACTGAGCATTTTACATGTTTATTAATATAAAAATATTTAGTGTAGAGGTCATTTTACATTTTTACATCTTTACAGTAACAGACGCTTGTTGGTCTTGCTAGTTTCATTCTGTTTTTATTTTGTCTGCAGTCAGCAACAGCATCAGTCCATCCCACGTGGGAAGTAGGCTCCATGTGAAAAGGCCCGGCACCCACTTGGGGAGCTAAAGGGAGGGTACTGGGGGCAGAGTTCAGGTTCAGACCCACCCTCGTGTGGTGTGAGCCATATTTGGAGAACACGCACCCTCTGGGTGGGTTAGATTTCACCTGTTCGGGCACAAGCCTCTGGGAGCAGTAGAGTGTGCGGCAGGGTCAGGGGGAGGCCGACCCAGTAAGAATCCGGTAAGAATGTAAAAACTAGGGGAGGATGATTCTTGCCCCTAGAAGATGCTAGAGATTTTAGGTCAGAAGGGCTGGCACCCTTCTTCGTGGAGAGAGTGGCTAAGAGAGTGAGGAAACTTT